CACACACACACATATGTATGTATGTATATTTGCAACAGTAATTACATAACATTAGCCACAGCATTTAGATAAGAGAAAGAAATGGGGACGGGGGATGAAGGGAGGTCAGGGACAAGGGGAAAAAATGAGAACCAAGACCTGTCATGTAAAGGTACAAGATCCCAATAATGAATGTAATTGTACTGTATACCTAAAATATACCAATAACCTCAATGAGGAAAAAAAGGTTTAAAAATCAATAAATAAAGATAAGAGAAAGAAATAAAGGAATAAAGATAGGATATGAAGAAGCTAAACTGGAGCTATTGATGGATGACATGATACTCTATATATACCCAAAAACTCCACAAAAAGACTTCTAGACCTAATAATTGAATTCAATAGAGTACATGGATACAAGGTCAACACTCAAATCTCAATAGCCTTAGGCCAGGGATTTAGCTCAGCGGTTCAGTGGCCTGCCTCACAAGCCCAAGGACCTGACTTCAATCCCTGGTACCGAAAAAAAAATTTTTTCAATAGCCTTCCTGTACAGGAATCACAGACTCATTGAGAGAGAAATTGGGAAAACAACTCCTTTCACACTAGTATCAAAAAAAATTAAATACCTAGGAATCACTCTAATATAGGAAGTAAATGATCTTTACTCTGAAAACTACAGCACTCTGAAAAATGAGATCAAAGAGAATATCAGAAAAATGGAAAGACACTAATTGTTCCTGGGTAGGAAGAACAAATATAGTGAAAATGGCCATGCTTTCAGAACTGTTCTACAGATCAAATGCAATCCTAATTGAAATCCCAGCATTTGAGAGGCTGAAGTAGGAGAATCACCATGAGTTCAAGGCCAGTTTGAGTTACCTAACGAGTTCAAGCCCAGACACGACTATATAGTGAGATCTTGTCTCAAGGAAAACAAGACGAAATGTGCTCTATTTTGGAGAAAGTTCCATGTTCTGCTCAGGAAAATTTATACTGTGATGTTGTTTAATGAAACATTATGTAAGGATCTGTTAAGTCCATCTATCAAAGGTAGGCTCAGGGTTGATATTGCTTTCTTGCTGTTTTTGTCTGATTTACCTATCTTTTTGTGAGAGTCCAACATTGATGTCCCCAACTATGATTGTGTGGCTGTTTATCTGACGTTGCATGTCCAGAGGTATTTGTGCACTAGCATTTGGTGCATGTATATTTCTCTCTTCTTATTGAATTGTTCCCTTCTCCATTATGCAGTAACTTTCTTTGTCACTTCTGATTAGTTTTGGTATGAAATCTACTTTGCCTGAAAATAAGATAACTACTCCTTTTTGATTTGGGTTCCATTTGAATGAAATATCATTTTCCACCCTTTAATTTTTAGCCTGTATTTAGCTTTTGGATGAGGTGTGTCTCTTGTAGGCAATATTTAGTTTGATTTTGATTTTGTATTTTATTTTATCTGTGGTTCTGAAAAATCACATATTTAATGAGTACATGTATTATTAATCATACATGCCTAGGCAAATTAGATAAAATGAAGTCTTATCACTGGGCCCAATAAGACTAAAAATGTTATGTCATCACTTTGAATTCAAGCAACCAAAAATTTTATTCCTAATCTTATTTAACCTGGTTCTTAATCTTTCAGAAAGAGAAACTGAGGTCCAACAATTAAAGAACTATTCCTGGGATTACCCGTAGTTCTTGCTAGAAATCTGTCCCAAAACATTGTATAGCCATGTGACCTCTGACAATGACCCTTTACTTTATGTTCCAGGAAAATCAACAAAACAAAAAATGTTATTTCTGTGTACCATAGCATTGCTCCCGTTTTGAACAACCCCAAGCCCTTCTTGGACAGCTCATGAAAATTTGTTTGAACAACCAAGGCCTTCCTGGTGCCACATTCATTGAGAAATAAATTCAGTTGTGAGAAGCAAATTCCCTAAATGTCTCCCTTCTTCCTAATAAAGAAAAGAGAGAAGATGAAAACAACACAGAGATTCCACCTCACACCCAGGAAGAATGGCTGCTATCAAGAAATCAACCAATAACAAAGGCTGGCAGCTTTGTGGGGAGAAAGAAACCTTTCTCCATTGTTGGTGGGAGTGCAGACTGGTGCAAGCACTGTGGAAATCAATATGGAGATACCTCAAAGAACTAGGATTAGAGGTTCCATTTGACCCAGGTATCCCACTGCTGGATATCATTCCAAAAGCATTAAAACAATCATACCACAGTGGTAAATGTGCACCCATATTTATAGTGGCACAGTTTGTAATACCTAAAATTTGGAAAGAGCCCATTTGCCCATCAGTTGGAGACCAGATAAAGATGTGGTGGTTCGATAAAATGGAGAACTACTCAGCCACAAAGAATGGGAAGCTAGAGTCATTCATAGAAAAATGGATGCATATTGAGGTCATAGTATTAACCTAAAAACATAAGACACATATGTGGAAATATCAAATAGTTTCTCTGTTGTAAAAAACTGAAAGTGTAAATAAGATCCAAATTGTACAACTCATAATGTGAAATAGGAATAAAAGGGCTAAACGTACAGGGGAAATGGGAAGCATAGGGGAAAGAAAATAAGGGAAAATAAAAAATATGAGAAAAGAAAAAATTTGAAACGAAGTACTTGTTTCGAAGGAAGGTGGTGGGGGTGAAGGGAAGGCAGGGGTATGGGGAAAAATGAGAACCTAGATCTGTCATGCAAAGGTACAAGATCCCAATGATGAATGGAACTATACTGCATACTTAAGAAGTACCAATAAACTCAATGAAAAAAAAAAAAGAAAACAAACTGGAGGGACAAAATGTCCCAGGCCTAAGGCTCTCCCAGGTAGAGGTTGTCTATGGACACTACATTGATTTATATCTGACAAGCCTGAGATAAAGGTGCTCCCCATCTCATCCTCCCAACGTCCACAAACATCTTTCCTCTCTTCACTTTGTTCTCTGCAGTTTTCCCCTCCCAAGAGGTCCTTCTGCCAGGTGTGACCTTAGTTGATTTCTTTATCAGTTCTTTGCAAACTTCCACTAAAATGTAACTTTCATCTTCCACCCCATGTACAGCCACATCTGGGAAGTAGGAGGTTCTAGATTCCATGGCACCCATTTTGGCCTAACTTTGGGCCTCCCACAAGGATTCTATGCAGGAAAAAACAGCACAGAGGCAAAGAAACGCAGGCTCCAGGTGCTGACTTCAAGAGCCTCTTAGATTTTCCAAACACTTCTCCTTCCAGCACTCTTTATGCACAGCTCTGGATCCTTCTCACCCCATGATCTTGACATCTATAACCCTGGAATATTTCCCCTGAGTCCCTTAAATTTATGTTTTTCTTCAACAAGGGACTCCAAAATCCACAGCCATACCCCCTGTCTCATCCAAATGAAATCCAGATCCTTAGATTCTATGTTCTACCTTCAAATCCACATCTGCAAGATTCTGGCCAATCTGGGGTTCCAGATCCATAACTCAGGTGCTCAGTCATGCAAATGATCAAACCTTTTCAGGTGTGGAGTGTATCGCCTGCCCCCACCAATCCACAGTCCTAGGTCACTCCCTTCTGATGTGCCACAAACCACCTGGAAGCCGATATTGTATATCAGCCCAGAGTGTGACAATTGCATAATAAAGACCAAAGGCCACCCTTCTCTCTCAGGTAGTATAAAGGTAGTCTCGGCCTGTGATATCTGACTGTCTTCCTCACAGCCATGATGCTGGCCTCAGGGCTACTTCTTGTCGCTTTGCTGGCTTTCCTGAGTATAGTGATCTTGATGTCCGTCTGGCAGCAGAGAAGGTTCCGGGGGAAGCTGCCTCCTGGACCCACACCACTGCCCTTCATCGGGAATTACCTGCAGCTGAACACAGAGCAGATGTACAACTCTCTCATGAAGGTGTCGTAGGGGTGGGGAGTAGACTGAGGTGGGTGAAGAGTTACCCATGAGCTGGTGATTTGTGGCCAAGGATTGACTAGAAGAGCTGATGTCTTAAAATAGGAGATTTTTCAAGGATCAGCCACAAGGTACTAGCTGAGGAAAAGATTGGGATGTTCATCTCCTTGCCTGTCAGGACCTGAGAGAAATGCATACCCAGTGACTGACGTCTGGGTACTGGGTCAGTTCAGCAACTGAGCACTCTAACCATTCTCTCCCTCTTTCATCAGATCAGAGAGCGCTATGGCCCTGTGTTTACCATCCACATAGGGCCCCGTCAGGTTGTGGTGCTGTGTGGCTATGATGCAGTCAAGGAAGCTCTGATAGATCAAGCTGAGGAATTCAGTGGGAGAGGCAAACAGTCCACCTTCGACTGGCTCTTCAAAGGCTATGGTGAGAGGGCCACCTCATGAGGAAATGTATCCAGGAAGACTTGGTAGCCTCTTTCCCCAGCTCTCCCCCTGACTCACCTGTCTCTTTAAGGTTGTGCAGAGGGCTTTGCCTGATCTTTTCTCCATGACCTCTTTATTGTTGCCTCTCCTTATGCCAGTTTCTGAGATCTCTTAGAGCTTCTGTGCCTAACTTTTCCATGCCTCTTTGCCTATGTCTCCTTTCTCTCTCTCACTAAATGTTGGAATCCCTCTATCTCTTAAAACCTCTTCAGATTTCTCTGTCGGAATACAGGTCCTTCAATTTTGTCTGACCTTTTTGTTAACCTCAGCTTCTGTGCTTCCCTGTGATTCTATCTTCTTCTCCCTCCCTTTCTTCTTTCTCTTTCAGAATCTCAAAATATCTGCTTCAAATTCTCCTTGCCGGCGTTTCAGGGTTTACAAACATCTTCTTTTTAGATGCTCTGTTTGTCCCTCCCTGCTTTGCTCTAAACTTCAGCTCAGTTTAGGATCAATTATCATTTTTATTTCTAGTTTCATATATCCAAAATTTTGCTCCTTTCCTCTGTCCTCTGCTGTTCCCTCTAATTACCTCTTTCCTTCTCTTCCTCCTATGGTATGTCTCTGTACCTCTGCTTCTCCTTTATCTGTTTGCATCTCTGCTTCTCTCTTCTCCTTCTCTTCTGTCATCTCTTCCCACTTGGAGTCTGTTTCTTCCTGGACATTTCCGTTTTCTAACTCAGCCTGTACCTCTCCTGCTCTTTCACTCAGGCTATGGTTCTGTCACTATCATTTTCCCACTCCCTCCCCATCTGCAAACCTCCCTTCTTCTCAGGAGTCTCCACAAGGAAGGGCTGTGTCCTCTCCCTGCTCCCTTCTCACCTCCCCGCTTTCCTGTGCTCACATCCTCAGGTGTGGCTTTCAGCTCATGGGAACGTGCCAAGCAACTCCGGCGCTTCTCCATCACCACACTGAAGGACTTCGGGGTGGGCAAGCGTGGCATTGAGGAGCGCATCCAAGAGGAGATCGGTTTCCTTATTGAGTCCCTCAGGGAAACACAGGGTAAGCAAGGAAACTCAGATTTCTATGAGAAGTAGGAGAATCCACGGCCATGAACTACACATTATGGCACTGGAAGAGTAAGAGACAACATTGGCATTTCTGGTTGTCTGTCTCATGCTGGAGTTTGTCTCGTGATGAGAGTAGCCTACTCAAATTCTGAGAAGGCAGCAGAAAGCCCACTGAACTCTCCCCTAATTCCTGCCTCTCTTGGTCTCCGCCCAATGTTGCAGGTGCCTTCATAGATCCCACCTTCTACCTGAGCAGAGCAGTCTCCAATGTCATTAGCTCCATTGTCTTTGGGGACCGCTTTGACTATGAGGATAAAGAGTTCCTGTCACTTTTGCGCATGATGCTGGGGAGCTTCCAGTTCACAGCTACCTCTACCGGACAGGTGAACTGTTCAGGCCTGCCCCTACTGTATCCCTACCACAATCTTCAGACCACACCTCTACATGGTACCCCAATCTCTCATCCTTTTCTAAGGTCCACTCAAATCCAGCTCTCAGCAGCATACACTTCATAGTTACATCAGTACCCAGAACAGGTACCCAGTACATGTGAAAATCTAACTAGATACCTCTGACAGCCTGCATCTGAGACGTGTGCCCTTCAATCAGTTTTGTTTTTAATCTGGGCAGATGTTCCCATAATAACTTACCTTAATATCAAACGGCTTTCCCTACCCACTCTTCTGAATTACTTAACACATGAAAAAGTGACCGCCTCATCCCGCCTTCTGACTAATTAGACAGTTGGTGCTACAATATCCAATTCATAGAATGCTACATTCTTTTGACCACTGTACAGGCGTCTCAAACCAGTGGGCTGGAATACCTAAACAAACACCCCTACTCAGCTCATTTAAATACATGAACACTTGCACAAATACCACAACCAACACTCTAAACACACACACACACACACACACACACACACACACAACAAATACCACACACAACACTCTAAACACACACACACACACACACACACACACACACACACCTGTATATATTGGCTCCAAACATGGAAGTGTCTTCCAATGCTGTCATCTCAACAATCCTCATGGATTACCACTATTCAGCTCATTCCTTAACACCTGGACACCTCAGTAAGTATTACCCCCACTTTAACATCTATACAAAATGGCTGAACATGTGTATGGCAGTTGCAAATCTAAATTCTACAAGTATTTGGACACCTTCTTCCAACATAGCCCACATAGGTACACCATGATGCCCCACCTGAGTAGCCTTATGTTGAAATGTCTTCCTACCCAGTCTGCCTTGAATATGATAGCATTTACATCAGCGCTCTTATAATCCTCATCTGAACATCTGAAGACAAGTCAATTGCCCCAATCCATCTTACTTAAATTTCTAGACAGCAGCTTTCATACATAACCCACATGAAAACTTAAATATATTTTCCCTTCAGCCTCAACAAAATTCCTAAATACTTAGAAGGTGCTTGGAGGCAGTGCTTTCATTACGCTGAGACAAGTCCCACTCCCAGCTGTCATTCTATTCTGTCCTCTCTCTCCATACACAGCTCTATGAGATGTTCTATTCAGTAATGAAGCACCTGCCAGGACCACAGCAACAGGCTTTCAAGGAGCTGCGGGGACTGGAGAACTTCATAGTCAAGAAAGTGGAGCAAAACCAGCGCACACTGGATCCTAATTCTCCACGAAACTTCATTGACTCCTTTCTCATCCGCATCCAGAAGGTACACCCATCATCCGGGCTGAGGCGGTCCAAAGCTAGACATAGGAGTCAGGCTTGGATGAAGGACAGAGATCATTCACATTAGCATGGATGGATTATAATGAGCCTCACCATGCCCATCATAGTTACCATCACTGTTCTGAGCCTTTATGCACAGGCAGGATATATGCATGCAAACCATAATGGCAACCACCTCTACAACACTGCTATATGCAGGTACAATTATAAATGCCTCATAGAACTCACCCCAATAGCTTGTGTATATCTTATTCTGACCTCAATTTTACAAATAGGGAAACTGCCACCCAGAGTGTAAGTGAATTTCCTGAAGTCACAAAGCAAGGAAAATATGGAATATAACTCAAATCTTCTCTGGCCCTAAGCATGGAACTTTCAGCCACCATGCTTTCTAACCTTTCCTAACTTATTCACCAGATACACCTGTGTGAGAAAGTGGCCTGCCTTAACAGTCTTTCTGTGGAGTATACTCACCCTAATCTGCCTGTCAGTCTCTCATGTATGAGAAATAAATTGTGACACTGAGTCATCTGGTGACTTTTCCTCTACAAGAAGCTTTGAATTGGGGAATGAGTAGGATTGTCACTTAATATTCCCTCCTCCTCCTCTCTCTCTCTTTCTCCTTCTTTCTCACAGTTTCTATCACCCTCTTTATAAATATTCCTCCTACTTTAAAAATGACAAAGAAACTGAAAACAAATAGTTAGCCAAGCAAAGATCATGAAAAAAGCATTTTGGACAAAGGCAGCAAGTTCAGCAAGCGCTTGAAATGTGTGAAGGGACTTCAGATCTAGGGTCTTTCATTCCACCTTAGATCTAGACCTAAGAGAGATAGGTTAAAGTAATAACCCCAGAAGGTCTCCAGGTGAGTGTTCAATGGACTCACCCTAATAAGTTTTCTCCTTATAGGAGAAGAACCTCAACACAGTGTTCCACATGAAGAATCTGGTCATGACCACACTAAGCCTCTTCTTTGCTGGCACAGAGACTGTCAGCACGACCTTGCGCTATGGCTTTCTGCTGCTCATGAAGCACCCAGATGTGGAAGGTAAGGCTGTGTAGGTGGAGATCAGAGACCTTGAAGCTCCTCGCGCGCTTCTGTAATGCCCCCACTCCCTGGTCTGTAGATCATCAGACACACCGTACAGAGGAAGGGGGACATTCAGCTAAGAAGCACTAGCCAATATTCACTAGCCATTAAAACATTTGTACAAACTGAATTTATTGCTAAAATAATTGTCTAAACTGCAGGAGGTACATCACCCGCTCCACCAGGCCACTCCATGTGTCTCCTCCCTTATAACTCCCTTGTGATTCTGGAATAAGTAAGTTAAGAGGATTCTTCTCCAGAAATGTGTACAGCCAGTTTCTCTTTTGATGGTCCACATACATGTCATAAATATTTCCATGTCATACATCCAGTTTTACAAATCTGAACTAGCTTCCTGCTTTGAGCCTCCTGGATAACTAAACATATTCTCCCTTCTCCCACAGCCAAGATCCATGAGGAGATCGACAGAGTGATTGGCAGGAATCGGCATCCCATGTTTGAGGACAAAGCCAAGATGCCCTACACAGAGGCGGTGATCCATGAAATTCAAAGATTTGGAAACGTGATCCCCATGAGTCTGGCTCACAGGGTCACCAAGGACACCAAGTTTCGGGACTTTCTACTCCCCAAGGTACTGCCTTGCCCAGCCTAGAGGGAGCTCCAACCCACACCTGGAACCCTGATACCTGTTCCCATTAGAAGATTGATAGCTCCTGTCTCACGCCTTCAATCAAAGACTTCCTTAACCATAGTGTCTCTTCAGCTCTTGCCCTCAGAGAGTTCTGATTCTAATATCTCCCCCATATTTTCTGCTGCATGGAAATCAATATTTTGTCCTGAAAACTGCCCATCTTAAGGAACATGAAACCTATTTCCAAAAGAACTTGTTACTTAGTGACAGGAATCTTGTGTCCTCCAAATATCCTGACCAGGGGAATATAAATCCCAAGTCTCCCAAGCATACTGTCTCAGAGAATGAAAACCTGCGAGTCATGAGAGATATGATCTGCATACATTTAACTTTTCACCCCAAAGATAGAGACCCTCAAATTTCAACACTTTCCTCCTCCCATATCTTGCCCCAAATGACACTGTCCTGTCACTCACACATCCATTCTCAATAAACATGTAGCCTTGTGACCCACAAACTTCCCACTGCGGATTTATATTCCTCAAAGCTCCTCTCTCAGAGGACCACAACTCTTATGCCTCCCATATATCTTCACCTGAGGCACTCTAATTTTCCTCTCTAATATTTCTGTGCTTTCAGCACATTCAACCACTAACCCATTTATCAGTTGTCCTTTCTCCTCCCTCCCAGGGCACTGAAGTGTTCCCTGTCCTGGGTTCTGTGCTGAGAGACCCAATGTTCTTCTCCAATCCTGGAGATTTCAATCCCGAACACTTCCTGGATGAGAAGAGGCAGTTTAAGAAGAATGATGCTTTTGTACCTTTTTCCCTTGGTAAGAGTCCGAAGTTTGCTGCCAAGCAACTTCCAAATCAACAGAGACAGCACATCCCAACTCCCCTCTCTGAGGTGTATTCTAATATCCTCCAGCTAGGACATTCCTCTTGGAATCTACTTTCCAGCCAAGCAAATGAAAGCACCAAATATCTGCAGCCAAAGGAAAGGATGATTAAACCCTTTCCAGAGACAGAGAAAATCAAGGCTGAGAGTGAGTCAGAAGTGTTTCCAAGTGCATACCACCAGTTCTTTGGACTCTTAGAAAGGAGCTGACAGCATAACCATAGTGAGAGAAGGATCTAAACATCCCATTTCTATATCCTGGCATGGTCATCCATGTCGTGTACAAGGAAAACTGAGTCTCAGAAAGCCTCAAGGTCGCTCAGACCAAAATATAGCGTTCCTCACATGGAGAAAATAATAAGGTATTAAGGGTCTCCTTCATCTCTGACATTCTTTCTCCTAATCAGGAAAGCGGTACTGTTTCGGAGAAGGCCTGGCTAGAATGGAGCTCTTTCTCTTCCTCACCTCCATCTTGCAGAACTTCCGCTTCAAGTCCCCACAGGCGCCTCAGGACATTGATGTGTCCCCTAAACACGTGGGCTTTGCCACCATCCCACCGAACTACACCATGGGCTTTGTGCCCCGCTGAGCAAGGGCTGTGCCAAGGGAAGGAAAGTGAGAGGGACAAGGCAAATGATGTTCTGGGGTTGAGGTAGTGGATGGGAAGGGCAGCTAAATAAGAGGTCTCATGGAAAGGCTGAAAATATGAGGGGAAAGGAAGGGACAGGGGGGATAAAAGTGGGAACAAAACAGAACAGACTGATCACTTTACTAAAAATGTGATATTGCTAAAGATGTATAAAAAATAAAGATGTGTATGTATCAATTCCTCAAGATGAATGAAATTATTATGTATTTAGAACATATTAATAAATAGAAAGAAAACTAAGATGAAAGGAAAGTTACAAAAGCTATTTGTTGAACAGTATTCTCTGTCATCTCTGCCCTAAAAGCATCTCTGATCTCGTCACTTAATGCTCAAAAACCCATGCAAGGGAAATAGTAGTACAAGTGACAGAGCCAAGACCCAAGAGAGTTACAATCTCTAAGTAAGTTCTCACAGAGCATAGGTGGCCAGCAAGTACTTGAGTCCAAATCTGTGCCTATCGTCTTTGGAGAAAAATCTTCAAATTTATCCTTTTCTCAAATAAAACCACGAAAGTCTATATTTTTATAAAATCAGAACGTACTTTTCCGGGGTTTTGTTTTCACAGCCCTGACAGACAACTGGCCTGACCTCCCCTCACACTTCTCCACACATTCATCTACTCATGCACACCATACACTCTAGGTTATCACTGTCTGCACCCCCACCAGGCTAGGCCACTCCTTCTGACTCAGATGCAGACTCGGGAACAGGAATCAGGCTTCTTAACGATATGCATGAGGGAGGCAAATACTTTCAGCAAAGCCATAACTTTGGCTCGCACATAGCTGTGACTATGGGTATGTTTATACACAGATAATCATGCAAGTGTATGATTGTATTTGCTTCTCAGGGAGAACATAAATGTGAATTCAGCCATTGGTTTCTGATGGTAGGGCTCCCATGGTTCATTCAGGAATCTGCTGAACATCCCCACCAATGTTTTCAGAACCACTAGGCCACACTCAAATATTTAATGCAAATCCCCCTTGAAGTGGCATCATTGAGCATAAAATCTGGATTTCTGTTTTTGTCAGCCTAAGATCTCTGTTTCTTAGACTAAGTACTATACACACACATGCTCCCTCATACTTTTTTTTTTTTTTTTTTTT